AAATATGAGCTGGTCCATGAACAATTGTTTCAAAACATGTGATGTAAAATAATTGTATCTTTTAATATCCATCTTCTGCAGAAGAATGTTCGTCTTTGCACATACATCATTCTGCACAGTGGAGCTCAATCATCTCATCTCGTGAAGCTAAATTTGTGTTCAGTTAATCCACTTCATCCTCTTCTTTTAATTTGCCTTCATCAAAACAACCATAAGCAGTGTAGCACAGCAAGGCAGTTGCATTCAATAGGTGTAAAAATGCTTTATATAGAGACACCACATATACACAACTTTAAAAATGATGTTGCTACATTTTCTTTTCACTCAATGAACCATTTAACTTCTTGGATACATGCACTGGGCACACAGCTAACTCCTCAGCACAGACTTATGGTAGATTAGGAGGGCTTTACATTAGCCAGTCAAAGTGTTCATAGAAGCCAACTGTGTCTGCTGAGATTTAAACCTGGCTTGTGCCACCGCCATGTATTCCATCTCCTGTGTTTATCTCAGGAGCTAGTTCCAGATAACTCACATAGTTAACATTAGACTAACATAGATGTAGAAGATACTGTAGGAGATAAAGCTGCTGGTCACAGTGACACTGCAGCAGCTCCTGTTTACAAAAGAATCCTAGATTGGCTGTATAATTCGTTAACTGCAGTTGCACATGTATCTGTATGTTTTGTACCTGATAATCCCAGTAAAGAACTTGTATCTGACTTTTAGATACAAATACAAATATGAGGTTTAGTACATTTCGAATGTTTCACGAGTGATTTAAGTTCAGCCTCAACAGAATAAGCAAAACAGTGATTTAGACAGAAACAGTGGTGCATTAAAAACACTGTATTGTTGGACATTCTAATTAACACTGGGATTAACATGTATGTTGCTGCAGACAAACTTTACTTATGTTTCAGTAACAAGTGTCAAAAAATGAAGGGAATATTTAATCGTCACAGTGTAACACCAAGTCAGTTAAACTTCAGGGAGATCAATCGACCATTTAGGAAGCACAAGCAGGTCAGAATCAATCTCACCTGCTTTGCTTCAATGACAACAGGTGCAATGGAGGGAAAAGCAAATCAACCCCCAAACAGGGAATGGTTTTAAATGTGGTGGACACAGACAGCTGCTCTCTCTTTATCCTTCCTGACTAATTCTTCTTTAGTTTTGTGTCCTTGTCACTACTGGTATCATGAGCCAGTACCTGCAGCCCAATCAGGTTGCACAGGTAGTCCAGCTCCACCAGGAATACACATCTATACATGCGGTCGCAAGAAGGTTTGCTATGTCTCCCAGCACAATCTCAAGAGCATGGTGGAGCTACCAGGAGACCGGCTGTTACACCAGGAGAGCTGCACAGGGCCGTAGAAGGGCAGCAGCCCAGCAGCAGAACCAGTATCTACTCCTTTGTGCAAGGAAGAACAGGAGGAGCACTGCCAGAGCCCTACAACATGACCTCCAGCAGGCTGCATGTGTGCATGTTTCTGACCGGTACACTGACTGCTGTTAGGTACCGGGATGAAATCCTCAGATTGTCAGACCTTATGATGGTGCAGTGGGCCCTGGGTTCCTCAAGGTGCAGGACAAAGCCTGGCCTCATGTGGCCAAAGTGCTTAGGAAGTTCCTGGATGATGAAGGCATTGATGCCTTTGACTGACCCTCACGCTCCCCTGAACTAAATCCAATTGAGCACCTGTGGGAAGTTATATATCGTGTATCCGTCGCTGCCAAGTACCACCACCACAGACTGCAGGAGCTCACTGACTTCCTGATCCAGGTCTGGGAGCCCAGATGAAATTCTGCCTGTGATTTTTTTTCTTTGATTTTTGCTGTGGTTTTGAATCCAGTGGGGTTATTTTCTCAACAAATGTTTTAAAGATTTTCAACTTGATTATTTCATTCATCATGATTTGATGTTTTTATTTAATTGATCCCTTCATTTATTTGAGCAGTGAAATTTTATTGAGTGAGTGAGTGAGTAGTTAGTTAGTTTGTTATTAGCAGCATCAATCTGCCTCAATGGGCCTGTCTTGGGTTCAGTGTTTGGCCTCTCCCCATCGGAGACCCATCTCTGTCAGCTCGGCCGTCACAGTTTGTCACCATGTTGTTTTGGGCAGTCCTTGTTTGCCTTTTTTCCTCAGCAAAAACACTACATATTACAGATGCACCACAATCCTCCCAGTGTGTTGAGGTCACAAAAACCAAACAACTATTTTTGCACTTTTTACAATTGGTAAATATTTCTTCAGTCATTGGTGAGAGCATGTCCTGGATATCATAACGTTTTCTATAATGTCACCCTTTAAGTCAGATTCATAGATAGATAGATAGAGAAAGGGAAATTAATAAATATATACATATTTCTGTATGTATATAGAT